CTTTAATCTCTACTTAAGTGATAAAAAAATATATAAATTTAAAAGTTACAGGGTTTCACATGTCCTAGTAAAGTTGTCTAATAATCCAAACATGCAGGTGTATGGCTACATAGTTTCCACAATAAATGATACACTCTTATTTCTGAACCACTATAACTTGCTAAGGACTACAGTGATAACTGAAACTCGGTTAGGACTCGGAATACGTAAAAGGCTCTGAAACTTAGATTGGACAAGTCATTCTAACTATTCAAAACCTAGTTTCCTCATCAGTAAAAGAAAATATCCCCAGACTATTTTACTGGTTGTTTTTATTGCTGTTGTTGGCACATCAGACAACAGTAATAGACCCCCAAGATCATGAAGATGGGGAAATCGAGTTAACATCTGAAAGTGAATAGGTCACAATTAATTCTCTTCGGTAATCTATAAATACATTACAGAGGAGTTTGGGATATGCACAATTTTAATTAACATAATCTTAGGTATGATTTAAGAAAGAGTAGGAGACATGCAAAATTATAATTAACACAAACTTAGGTATGATTTCAGAAAGAGCAGAGAACTTGGGCACAGTGGCACACGCCTGTAGGCCCAGCTACTTGGGAATCTGAGGCGGGAGGATCGCTTGATCCCAGGAGTTCAAGATCAGTCTGGGCAACATAGCAAGACCCTGTCTCACAAGAATAAAAAAAAAGAAAGCAGAGTATAACTTAAAAGTCACAAAAATCTGTATTCTACTATAACCTACTTAAAGGAACACTGAGGAAAGAAAAGGATGAATTTTCAACCTATACATGAAAACAAACCCAAAGAACTACAAAGGACTCAGGGTGACATGGGGAGCATAAGCCTCTATCTATCTATCTGTCTGAGTAGTGAAGAAGGACATAGGTGGTAAAGAAGTCTGGTGCTAATAGCATGCAGCAAAATCATCTGTGAAGCTCTGAAAACCCAATCTGAGGCCTAATGAAATCATAATCCCTGCAAGACCATATAATTAAAAAGTATATGTGAATTCAAGTCACACTTCAGATATACTCAACCAGAATCCCTGGGGATAGAGCCCAGGAATGTATGCTTTTAAAAGCTCCATATGCAATTCTGATGTGTAACTTTAGTTGAGAACTACTGCACTAAACGTTAGAATGATGAATTCCTGTTATGAGTCCATGCTCAGCAAACAAAGGTTTGATACTCTTTTACAGGAAAATATCCACCAACATGAGAATACAAGGCATTTAAGAATTACGTTTCTCTTCACAAATTAATAAAACTGATGATCTGTTATAGATGATTTCGGTTAGGGCAATTCTGATCCTGAAGAAAAAATATACTTTATGCACCCACACAATTGAGGTCCCAGCCTATAAACATAAGGAAAAGACCTTGGACGATTATCAGTTTATTAAAAGTAAATGCCACCTGAATGAGCCCTTTTGGCAGTTATGCTGGCATGATATCCTTTTATTCATCCAAACACTATGCTTTAACATTTTAAACTACAAGGCAGTGAGGATAAAATGAGAGCATAAAATTGAAATTACTTTCTAAACTAGTGTCATTCAAATATCAGATATTAGTAGCAGCAATAGCTGTATGGCAATCATAAACTAAAAATCAGTATGATATCTATAAGGAAAAAAAAA